CAAATCCCTGGATTGTCTTGTGGAACTCCTTCCCTTCTAGCGGAAACTGGTTTTCAGCAGCCTCCAAAGCTTCTTGAGGAGAAACAGATTCATGCATATGAATTATGACTTAGAAGCATTTTCAGATACTAAGCCCAAGACAGAAGCAGCACCAGTTCACATCAGCTTTCTCACTTGCGTGGGAGGTCTGCCACACAACCAATGGCGTTCTGTCCTCTCAACAAATATTTATAGGTTCTTACCATGTGCCCAGCACGGTGGGAAGGAGAAGCAGACATAGCTTATCTTACCCTCAGTTAGTCATAGCAATGGAAGTTGCCAGAACTTTCCTCCCTTCACATTATACAACAGTTCCAACTGAGAGCATTTCTAATTCTTGGAGAGGAAAAAAATAAGATAGGCACACGTATGGGGCAGAATAGGAGAAGTGTTTCCTGAACCACAGACAGAGTGGTGGGCCAGAATCAAGCTCCGGACTCACTTGAGCAACTCTGTACTCTCTCCATGTTTTGCAGGGATGCTATTTTCAGCTTTATTCCAGGCTACAAGAGTATTTCACATATAAAGGTAATGGAGTTGAGGTGTAGGCTCAGTACATGCTTAGAATATATAAAGCCATAGGCTCAATCCTCAGATTAAATTGATTAAAAAAAGAACACTACACTTGATCTTAGCCAAAAGGTTGAGTTGTTCAATCTCAGAAAGGCCTCCATACACTTAAAAAAAAAGAAACCTTCAAGTACTGATTTTATCCCAGAATCTGGACTATGATTTTAGTTGAATCACCCTAAAAGAGGCCTTATGGTATTTTCTAGTAGGTCCTGGTTCCAGCCAGAATTTTCTTTTTGTTTTTTGAACTCACTATACAGTCAAGACTGGCACCAAATTCACAGTCCTCATGGCCTAGCGTCTCCAGGGCTGGGACAACTTCCATACTTGCCAGAATTTATATTTTCAAGAAAATAAAACTACCAATTCAGAAAATTTGAACTAAGCCAGGTATGGTGACATATGCCATACTCCAAGCACTTGGAGGCAGAGTCAAAGGCAGCCAGATATCTGTGCATTAAGTAAGAGGCCAACTTGGTATACATAGTGAGCAGGTTCTTGGCTAGTCAGGGCTAGCGAGTGAAACCCCATGGCAACAAAACAAAAACCCAAAGGGAAAATATACAGACAAAAATAGCTGTATTTCATTGTCATATTTACAATAGCTTAAAAATAAAGAAAGAAAAGAAAAAGTCACCCAAGTGTCCATGGATGAAGAGATAATCCATCTATTTGGGAAGTGTGGTATATACATACAATAGACTTTTTATTCAGCCTCAAAAAGGAAGTTAAACTATGTAAAACAAAGACTCACACAAAAAGGACAACTATTGCATGATCTCCCTTAACATGAGGTATTTAGTCAGACTCATAGAAACAAGATGTAGACTGGGATTGCCCAGGGCTCGGCGCAGGTAGAAAAGGCTAGTTTGTTGTTGTTTTTTAATGGGTATAAAGTTTCAGTTTTATAAGATGAAAAGGTTTTGGAGATTAGTTACATACCAACATAAAAATATTTAAGACTCCAGAGAGGCAACTGATATATTTTACTGTATGTATTTTTCCATGTTTTTTTTTTTTTAAAGCAACAGAATCTGTTACTTACCTCATTGTGTTACTAATTTTTTACAGCAGCATCCCTTATGGCTTCAGTGCTCGACAGGAACAGGCTTTCTTGGTGCTATTAAAAGATATCAAAGAATTTTCTGTGATGCTTGGAGTGACTTTTACATTAAAAATTGCTCTTCTATGTTCTAAAAATTACATTTGGGAGACAGGGAAGATAAGTGTTTTCCTGCTGGTTGATGCTAACAGCTGCGGCTCTTCTGTATTTAGACCTCTCTGGCGGGTCCAGAAACAGAAGACACAGGGATCATCCCAACTACTGAACATCAACATACTCGGAACCCAAGCAAACACACCAGGAAGTGAATCCAAGGGCCCTGTGTATAATTTGCATCACTATTCAACTCCTAGACTTCCATGTGCCATTACACCTAGCTACTGCTGTAATGCCTTTGTTCTCCAGCAGTTCACAGGACATTAATCTGCAGTATCTCATAAACCATGGGTCTAAAACAGGGTTGCAGATAGATGCCAGCCCGGATTACTGAGGTTGACAGATGGTATCCTTCTCACGCTTGCTGTCTGCCATTGGGAAGGACCTGGAACAAGAGGAGTTTCCGTCCTTTAATCCTCTCTGCTTTTATTTTTCAATTTTCAACCACATGTCTGAACAGCTGGGTTTCTAGCCCCCGGTCCCCCATAGAGCATGCACAATTAATCAAAAGCAACTAATTGACGATGTAAACCAATATTTAAAGGGTCACAGTAGGAACACATTGATTAATGTAAGAACATTTATTACTGTGTCTATTTTATGGTCTTCCCTAGTCATTTGAACTTGTCATGCCTGAAGGAATTAAGAATTACGACTGGGGATTTCTCAAGTACCTCACCTGATTGGAGACTTGCTAAATACTGACCACCAAAATAGAGCTGGGAAATCAAAAACATTTTTCTCCCAATTCATCTTTTTCTTTTTTTATGATAAAAATGATTGCAGAGGTACAAGGAAGGGGTTAGCATACAGAGAAAGGCTCCCTGAGTGATAGTTGTCTCTTTCCACTCCTCCCAATTCAGCTCCTCTGTATAACTTACACACCACGCAACCCTAAAACACGGGACTCTTTACATCAGCTTGTCCTCTCCGGAAAACTATTTCAGGCAAAGAACTTTACCTTTATAGTCCCAATCGCCATCACAGAATGTGACACAGACTAGATACTCACCAAATGGGTTACTGAATGAGAGAGTCAAAATTTGACACAACATACACAAGGAAACATGTACAGGACAGATATTATTTCAAGATCAAAAAAAAAAGAAAGAAAAAAAAAAGAAAAAGAAAGAAAGAAACGAGGCATAGTAGAAACAATTTCTACCCCTAGAACTTTTCCTGATTTAAACAGTGTCCCTCTCTGAGCTTCATATGGCAAACAAAAATTCCTTTAATGCTGAATTGGCCATTGGCCATTATGCTATCCAGGGCTTAAAGATTTGAAATAGCACTGCTACTTTTAGAAAGGAGAAGATCCTCAAGAGAGCATCTATCTTAAATCTTGGAGGGAGGGAGCTAAATCTAAGAGCTGAAATTAATTTTCTTTACTGTATTTCAAAACTATTCAGTAACGGGTAATGTGGGGTTCTCCCTAAGCCAGCTAAGCAATTGCAGATCTACAGCAGTGCAAGATAGAATACAGAATTTCTTTCCAAATGCAGAATAAAAAACTCATAGGCTCAACTTGCAGCTGACCTTGATGTGAAGGCTGGAAATCAGTTGCTGAAATTTGATTATTTCTATGTATCCCCACCAACATACTGAAATAAAGCAGTCTTAAAAGGAAAAAAAAATCAGTTGCAATGGAAATATTTAGTCTTAAACTACTTACTCTGCATTCAGTTAGGGCTTCCCCAGCAATGCAGTAAAGCAAGATTCAAAGACTACTTTAAACACAAAAGTATCTTTTAAAAAGTAAATGCTATTAATTGAAAATATTCGCTTAAAATTAAATAATCAAATATAACCCAAGAAAAGCAAAGACAAAAATGCTCTTCCCAGAACTTAATATGTAGAATTAAGCCGTTTTTACCAGCAGATTTTAAGGGTTTACATTTTAAAAAAAAAATTACGAGATTCATTTCCAAAAATCAAATTACAGAATAAATCCCTCCTACACATAAAGTTCCAAGAACGAAGGCAAAACAGGCATAGATCCCAAATGGAAAAATAAAATCAACGAAAAAGGATTTTACAGTCGCCTCACCTCCAGTGCAGAGGATTGCAGTGGGGCCAGCAGGATTATTTCCAGCTTGGTTCGCATAAAACGGAAGGGGACCCTCCTTTGCTTGACTCTTTCCCACCCCCTCTCCTAAAGCAGGCTTCCAACCTCTTTGCCAGTCCAATTGATAACCTAGGAAATGCACCGCCCGCAAAGTGAGAGCCCGGAGTAGGGGACAGTCCCCGAGTGGCCATCCCTCCCTCCCTTTGGGTGACGCTCCACTTCCTGTTTGGCAAATAGGCATTCCCAAGAAGCTCGGTTCTGTAGTTTCCAAGCCACCTCCCAAAGCCAAACCTTCTTTCTCGGTTTCCATTCCTAGGGAACAACTTTTAAGCATTCACGCGGCCAGCTAACCTTGTCTAAACAATCCCCCCCAAAAGATTCTGGAGTGTGTCCCTACCCAGTCCAGGCCCGTAAGGCTCAGCCACAGCGTCCCTCATCCAGCCAGCTTGTGACTACACCTCCAGTAATGGATCATGGTGACAGCTACTGTCCCGGGGTGACCGGGATGCTACTGGGACGTGTTTGCGCTTGTCTTCAGGGCTGCAACCAACTGAGGTTGCCCGGGAGGGACAAACAACACGAAGCCACAGCCTCCATGTACCTATTCCTAAAAGACTTCTTAAATATACCTGTAAGTGTTTCTTTTGCAAGGCACCCAACGATCGCTTCCCGCGTGGCGGTTTCCGCGGGTGGAGTGCACTCCCTCAGCGTTGACCTCGCGAAGCCATCGTCGCGCATCCTGCGCAGTGGCGGCGCAGCACGTGGCTGCCTGGGTCCTTCAGCGCCGCTGCCTCAAGCACAGCGGGGATTTGAGGTCCTCAGGGGGTTAACGCAGAAGGGGCAGGCGCGGGCTGCACTGCATCCGGGAACGCTGGTGGTGGGCGATCCGGGTGGGTGACAGCAGGCCCTGAACCCAGCCGGCCACGTCTGCAGAGCCGCAGCTGAGGAGTTCCTTCGTGAGATCAGGAGACAGGACCCCCAGTTCAGCTGGGGGTCTCCGGGAGCCTTGCAGCCCGGGCTTTCTGCAGCCCTTCAGAGCCCCGCCTCCTCCCTCCGTAAGCCCCGCCCCCGCCCGAGCCCCCACCCCGCCTCCCGCTTTCCCGTCCCAGGACGCGTTGCGCGGCCCGGGCCGGAAGTCCTCGAGTTCCCGGGTGTGTGTCTGTGTCTGTGTCTCGGGGCGGTACGCCGCCGCGGTCAAGCACCTAGAGAGTCCGCGTCTGAAGCGTCACCGCTGTCACTGCCGCCACCATACCGAATCACTTCTGTAGAGGGACGGAGGCCCGGCTCTTCGCCGGGTGGAGAAGATGTTGCCCCTGTCCATCAAGGATGATGACTACAAACCACCCAAATTCAATCTGTTTGGCAAGATCTCAGGCTGGTTTAGGTGCGGGGTGCCGTGTCTGCTGGGAGGGGGGTGTCCGGCTGGAGGAGATAAAGCCGGGAGCTAAGGATGGGTGTGAGGTCCAGGGTGGGAGCGTCACCCTCCTTGCTGTGGTGGAAGGAGCATGTGGACTGGGTGGGTCTTGAAAAGGGGGACTCGACTTCAGGGTCCTGGCACCCCCTTGACTCCTGCCTGCTTCTAATCACCTGTATCGTGCTCAGGGCCATCCTGTTGGACAAGACATCCCGGAACCTGTTTTTCTTCCTGTGCCTGAACCTCTCTTTCGCTTTTGTGGAACTACTCTACGGCATCTGGAGCAACTGGTAACCAAAGGGGAAGATGATTGGGGCGGAAGGAGAGGGTTAGGGAAACTAGCCACTATTTGCTTAGTGCCACGTAGCTCTGTACCGGTAGGTTCAGGTCTTACCTTGGCCGCTACCACTTCTGCTGAGTTGCTGTCTCCTTTATCAACTCGTAAGGGATGCTTTTCTAAGATCAGGGCCCATAAGGTACAGTCTCTTAGTTGATTTCCTGCTACTCCATCAGACAGGACTGACAGGTCCCCTTCTCTCTCTCTCTCTCTCTCTCTCTCTCTCTCTCTCTCTCTCCCTCTCCCTCTCTCTGTCTCTCTCTCTCTCTCTCTCTCTCTCTCTCTCTCAAAGATAAAATGAATCTCTTTTCTAATTGCTTGCGTTAGCTTTGCCTCAGGAAAACTGGGAGGATATCGTTTGCTAACCTCCCAGTGGGTGTGGCCTTTTTTTTTTTGGATCTTACCCTTAAGATTCTGAGAGGGTAGATCTGAGCGACCCTGTTTAATTAATGATTATCTTTAATGGCTTTTTGAAGAGATTTGTGAAGAGACCTTTGGCAAAGCATATGCCATTCTCTTTTACGGTGAAACTGTCTCATTATTTTTCCTCTTATCTTTACTGCAGTAGAAAATCCTATACAGTTTAATGAAAGTGCCTCTTGATTTGACTGTTTTTGGTGTCACCTTTGGGTTTGTTGTTTGTTTGTTCCTGTCTTCTGTTGTCATGATTCGGGTACAGAGGCGTCCAGTGTGAGCGAGGAAATAAAGTCTCTAGTATTTAAGTATTAGGTATGGGATAATTTCTGGGCCTGTCAGCACACTTCTCAAGGGTGCTAACTCCACCTGTAGACTTTATTCCCTTTTAAGAATCCGCTAAGATAGGGGCTCTCGCAGAGGATCATAGCTTAGTTTTCATCGGCATGTCTGGAGGCTCACAAGTGCCTGTAACTCCAACTTCAAGGAACCTTACTCCTTCTGGACCTCACAGGCACCCACACACATGTGGCAGACATACACACGCACACACAGACAAAAATTTTTTTAAAAATGTTAAAGAATCTAATAAAGAATGAGGCGTATAAATCTCCCAGAATCTTCAAAGGCAAGTTATATGGGGTCTTCGATTATGCTGTGCTGTTTATGGTTTGTGTTTTGTTACTTCTATTAACCTAACTCGATCTCTGCCTTTTAAAATACATTTTCAGAGAGAAAAAGATGGTAATCTTTGGTCTCTCGCTCTGTTGAGTCTGAACAAAAGTTAATCCTTTCACCAGGTGTTGTGACATCCCTGGTGCCTACCTTTGATCATTTGTTGGGATTTTGGTGTGGCTTAGTGGTATAGTTCTTGCCTGCCCAATCCTTGTGCTAGGCCCAGGATTCAGGCCCAGTACTACCAAACACACACACATACACACTCTCAGGAGGATGTCAGTGAGTTTGAGGCCACTCTTGGCTACATAGTTCCTGGACAGGTCTAAGAGACCCTGCCTTAGAAAACAAAAAGCACAAACAAACAAACAAAAAACAACAAAAATCCCTCCCTCCCCCATAAAACAAAACCTCCCATAAGTAGTAGATGATAAAGATTATTGGCTTTGTTATTACTTGGGGCACAGAAGTCAAAATGACACTATTTAACCTTTATGCATTTGATTCTCCTGAGAATTGTATGTATATTGAAGTGTATCCCATAACAGATATTTTTAATCTCATAAAGTTTATGTCCGTCAATAGGTCACATTTGCTGAAAGCACTATTGTTTTAATGTGTATTTGAGTATAATACTTTAATCATTACTATATACTATTTATCATATATTTTACATTTTTCTCTTTCTGAATTGGGTTATAATTTTGGCATTGGTGCTGCTTATTCGATGGCTACACTGTAGCTTGTTATTGTTACTAGTTATTCTATAGAACATTATACTATGTTTCATTATGACCTTTCTTTGGTTCTTAGAAGTTGGGAGGAAAGTGTAGGACTAAATACTCTCCATGGTTTTTGTTTACTTTGAGAATGCTTTTCTTTCTGGCATTATCTTTTCTCTCTTTTTAAAATTCCTGTTATAGATTTCTTTTTCCTCACATAATATATCCTGATAATGGTTTCTACTCCCTCTACTCTTCTCATTCCCCCCCCCCCACCTCCCCTTCTATCCGGATCCACTCCCTTTATGTCTCTCATTAGAAAACAGACAGGCTTCAAAGGGATAATAATGAGATAAAATAAAATACAAGATAAAACCAAATCTAACAATTTGGAATTGGACAAAACAAACAGAGACCACTTATTTATGCCCTCAGGAATCACATAAAAACACTAAACTCGTAAAGAGGATTCGTTGCAGACTTGTACAGGCCTTGTTAATTTTCATTCATTTATTGTTGAGTAACTACACAATCTCAACAGAAGAATGTAGTTTTGCATCATCAAGGTTAATTTTTTTTTCCAAGTTGCAGCAAAAAGCAAAGCCAATAATTGTTTAAATAGACAGTACCTTCTTCCCAGGATGGTTGGCTGAGCTGTACCTCTCCCTTGCATCAGAATGCCCGGAGCTTAGGGAGAATGAGACAGAAAATGTACATGGTCTTTTAAGACTTGTCTGGATGCTAACACATAATGCTTTCCCTCATACTTTTATCACATGCTCATGCCTAGAAGGCATGTGGTTTAGTACATGAGACCATGTGGATTGATACAAGTCAAGGCTTTGTTACAGAGGAAGAGAGGGCATATGTACTGGAGAAAGAGATCAACCCACTTAACATTGATGTGAGATTCCCCTCTGTATACTATGAATATGTTTGATTACCATTGGTTAATAAAGACGCTGCTTTGGCCTATGATAGGGCAGACTATAGGTAGGCAGGAAAACAAAACGGAATACAGGGAGAAAAAATGGAATCAGGCAGATGCCATGTAGCTGCTGAAGGAGAAAGATGTCAGAACCTTACCACTAAACCACAACCTCGTGGTGAAACATGAGTTTATTATGGGTTAATTTAAGATGTAAGAGCTAGCTAGGAATATGCCTAAGCCATCGGCCTAACAGTGTTGTAATTGATACAGTTTTTGTGTGATTTTTCAGGTCTAGGCAGCCAGGAAATATAAAAGCAGTCTCTGTTTACATAGCTTAGGAAGTCCAGGTGCAGTGTTTTTGTTTCTTCTTTCAAGGTTCTAGCAAGGGATCCAGCACCTTTTGTCTGAGTTGTATGCTGCTTTCCACCCCGTCCCCTTGTGTATCACTGTGTTTGACACTGTGTGTTTTCACTCTCTTCTGCTAGCATTTACTTCACCATCTGTTTAGAAATTTAATTTCAATTATGTCATACACTGAAACTGTTGAGAATAGTTTCACTTAGACCAGAGGTTCTAAACCTGTGGGTTACGACCCTTTTGGCAACCCTCTATTTCCAAAAATATTTGCATTACGATTTATAACAGTAGTAAAATTACAGTTATGAAGTAGCAACAAAATCAATTTATGGTTGGGGGCTCACCACAGCATAAGGAGCTGTATTAAAGGTCGCAGCGTTAGAAAGGTTGAGAACCACTGCCTTAGACACTGGCGAAGCTCACAGAACAGACTGTAAAAGGTTATGTTTCTGTTTTGATATTTGTTCTAGAAATGCTAACGGTTATATTGGGGGTGATTTGATCCTGTTTTTATGTAATGTGTATAGAAGATGTTTGCTAAGTAATTCCTTGGTCAGAAGTGCTCATATTTACCATGTATTTTTTTTATTATATTAAAATTTAAAAATGTTTCAGTCTTTCATCAAGCTTTCTCTTTTTGTATGACAACTCATCAGGTGTGGTGGAGCCCTTTGCCTTCTCGTAGTTTTGTTTTTCCCCTTAAAAACTTTGAAAAGTATTCATTTTGAAGAACATTAAGAATCATAGAATGGCATGGAGTTGTAAGTTATTTAATTATAGTTCATTAGTTTACTAAGTTTAGTCAGGTCATGAGCCTAATAATTTTCTTTGGCTTTTTAAATGTGTTTGTGTGTTATTATTTATATGTGCATGTGTGTGTGTCATACCTGTGAAGGTCAGAAGTTGAATTCAGTAGCATCATAGATTACTTTCCTCCCTATTTTTTGAGACTAATTCATCCCTAACCTTGTTTTTTAATTTCTTAATAATAAATGTATACTTAGCCCTCTTATTCCACGTTATAAAAATCAGCTGGACAGGGGTTTGGGAATTACGATGATCCTTTGTCTTCAATTATAAATTAATATTTAACAATCGCTGTGAGTATGCTGATAGCTCTGTTACCAGTAGACCTATTCAGAACCTTTTATAATGGAAACTCTGAAGCCTGTGTAAATAGTATAAAGGACACATGTACTAGTTGCCCATCCATACAGCCCACAGCTTTTTGATCCATTTTGTTGCCCATGTTGCACTGCTAGGCTGACTCAAACAGATACAACATCTAGCCTTTCAGAACTGCTTAGGGTGAGTCTATAAAAGACAAGAGCCAGCCTTAACGGTTCCCAAGTGCTCATATGTCCTTCCGTGTGGCATGTATTCTTCTTACAGTATGTTATACAGGAAAGAATCTAAGTAAGATCCACACAGCGTTTGTTTTGCTGATAGGGGAAGACCTTGCATGTATAGAATTGATAGCCTTTTTTTCTTGCCTTTATTTTTACATGTGCATTTTAAACATATTTTTATTCCTTTTAAAAGCTGGTCTTAAACTAGGTAAGTCTCAAACTCCCTGGTGCCAGAATTATAGATACATGCTACCACTCCTAGTGTAAGATAAAATCCTTCTCAAGAAACTCTTTCCTTTCCCTCCCTCCTCTCTCCCCTCCTTTCTTCTTTTCTGTTCCTTGTAGACAGGATCCTTTTTTCATTTGTCATGAAGGCCGATCACGTTCCATTTTGCCGAAGTGTTAGGGTTTCTCCTCATACCACAGGAAATCTCTCTTATTCAGATGTCTTTAGAACTAGTCATGAAAAAAAAGTATCATAATGCTTTTTAAAAGAAATTAGTGC